TGTCAGGATTTATTTATTTATTTTTTTTATTTTATTTATTTATTTTTTGTTCGTTGTAGGTTGATAACGATAACTCATTACTCTCGAGAAATCTATTACTTTGTTTCGTCCTTTCAAAGAAATGCCGCAGGTACTGTTGCCATTGCGAAAGGTAATGAGTTATAGCAAAAATAAATAGTTCTTGTGGAATTAGGAAAAGAGGAAGGCTTACTATTGCTGAAATGCGATCTAGAACTTAAAAAAAAAAATAATTCAGTTCTTATTTTTTTAACATTTGAAAGAGATGCTATTGTTTTCAGATAGCAATAAAAAGTCCTGTCCATTGCAAGTGAAGATCGAAAGCATATTGTTTGTTGTCAATCGACAATGCATAAGATCTTTTATTTATCTCCTGTAATATAAAAGTGCGTTGCTTATCAATAGAAGAAAATGAATCATTTAAAAAATTCTCTATATATTTTTAAGTAACATTTGCATCAAGTATTATTTTATATCATATGTTTATAATAGCCCGTCATATCACTTGTACAATTTTCTGTTAACATATTACTTCTAGAAATATTGGGAGAGGATTTAACAATATTTTTCAACAAATAATATTTTATGCATGTTTTATATTATGTGTGTCACAAATAAAATAAGGTTTCTAACACATTGTTATAGACTGGCTGCAAAGACTCTTAATTTTTCTTGTGCAAGTCACAGTTTGTTTCCAAAATAAAAATTAAGTGAAATAGAGAAATATCACAAATATTTTTACCCTCTTAATATAAAATGAACCCTCTCTAAGATAATCATCCATCGTTTCAGATGATTTTTTCTATGGATATGATCTTCTTAGACATATGACATTCAATACCATTGTTTATTCGTATATATTCTTTCAAAACTGGTTTATTCTGTCTTTCTTATTTTTTTCCGTAAACTGTTGTTCACATCATAATATTCTTTTCTAATATTTGAGTATTTGTCTGTTAATACCATTTTGCGCAGGGGGGGAAATATAGAATCAAATGCCGGAGATTCTAAGACTGAAATTATTTATTAGTTGTGATTGAATTTTATTCAGTAGTAAAGATTAAGTTTTATGGGTTGAGAATACTGGCTGTTATTTTTATTTAAAAAGGGAAACAAAAAATTATATACCATTTTCATATCTTTTAGTTTTAAAAATTTTTAAATGGTAATTCTTCTTTGAGATGTTAGAGTTTGAAATCTTCGAATTGCATTGCAAATATTTTTCTCTATTTTTTAATCTCTTTTTAATAAATGCAGTACAAATTTTAGCATTCGAAAAAATTTCGATATCAGATAACTTCTAGGTTAAGCAAGTTTTTCGATACGCATTTAAAGTAAACGTAGAAAGATTTTTATAAAAATGAATTCATTTGCAGATATTTACGTTACAGATTTAACTGATTACGCTTTTTGGAGTTCGTTCAGTGGGAACTACTTCAGTAATATATTCAGTCCTTCAAGATTTTCAAACGGCTTTTTGTTCAAATGGTACATAACAATTATATGCGTTGTGTTTATATATCGAAAAGTGCGGAACGAAAGTGGGGAGAGTTGCACAGTAGTAGTAACAGCAAGTAGCATTGGTATGAAAACAATCAGGGAAGTGTGCATTGCGCCCAGTTACATTCTACGTTGAAACAATCAAATTATTATTATTATTATTTGTGTGTGTGTCTAGAAGTGCGAACGGAGACTGGCATTTACATCCTATCGTTTTATTGATGATAAGATAATATCCAAGGAGGTTAGAATATATGGAAATACTCTACTCAAGTCAAAGGGAAGCGGGGTATCAAACTTTTCACAGCTTCTGGGATTTATGAGTCTGACGGGGTTTTAAGAGCTGCTTGCGCAGTGATGATTACAGCGAACATAACCTATATTAGCACTGCATCTGATAAAACTACATTTAAGTATTAATGCCAATGATATTCATTAAGAAAAAACATGAACATAATATTTTGATGCGATCTTTAATTCTTTAAAAAAATTGCATTGCTTCTAAGTCTAGTATGATGGGCTTGGTAGATATTCCGGCGAGCGCATTCAAAATGTCCGCCCGAAACGTTTGTTCATATTTAACTTTTCGTATGGCTTCGTAAAGGAGAAATGTCTTTCGAACACACGTCGTGAACAAGGAAACATTTGCGAAGTGCGAGGAATTTTTCTTTAGTACAACTTACAGAAGACCATTTAGATAAATTTTCTGTTCGTTGCATATTAAACTCAATTCAGCGTATTTCATCCACAAGTTCTCATGTTATGCTAGACGTCAGCTAAGAATGGAGTGTGAGTGTATATGAATGTGTTGAAACTGCGATGTATATCAATAAATTGAACTAAAGTTGGAATTTTCTGAAATAGTGAAATCTCTTGAATAAAGTCTACTGCTAAAACCGCAAGCAGTACCTCATAAAAGCATTTTTAACTCCGCCAAAATCAAAACATTTCGAATCTACGTAACATTTCCCAAATAGAATTTCTTAATGTGAGATTGCATATCAATTTAACTTAGAATGCTGGAATTCTTTTAAAACTGCATTGCGCTTTAAAGGCACCTATTCAGTGCATTTAAGTGAACAATCCTATTTATTATTTAACTGTTGAACTAGTTCTGAAATTTTATATCACATGCTCACTTTCCTTCATTTTTCGGTTAGGCGATGCCGACCGCTTACATCCTGCCACTCTCGGTTTAAACCGCTTCTGCCACTAAAGCTTTTGTTTAAAATAGACGCTTACGTAAGGCTGAATTTTAACTGAAGTTTGCGTTTGTCTTTTAATATTCGTTCTCTACTTTACCATGTTTACATGAAGAATTACAGACTTCTAATATAATGGTTCATTTGTTTAGTCTGGCGAAATACTTATTGCGTGAAGACAGCGTTTTTCCTGATCTTCGTTACTTTTGCTGAATAAATAGTTTAGTCTGCTGCAAAGGTTGTATAAACGTCTTTCAGTCAGAATATATATGTTACCTTTCCTTTGTTTTGCTCTGACAGTGTTTGCATCTCTGCGGCCGAAAGTAGCATCAATATTAAGAATAAAGGAGAGATTTTGGTATTGGAAAACTTCAAATTACAATCCAACATTTCAAAACATAAATATACATTGTATCATTAAAATTTTATTAAAATATAATAAAGATTTAAAAATATAAAAACATCTTGCAGATTAACGTAACCATACATTACGGATTGTAAAAAAAATAGTGGCGCGTTTTAATGCTGTCCTGTATCAGGACTTGTCCCGGTTTTTGTAATTAGTTGATAGGAATTTTATGAGCGCAACTCTGTGCAATAACAGAGCTGTTTTCGTATGAACAGAATACATTCAATTAATCAAAAAAGCGTGAATTCCTGATATACGATTTAGAGAATTCGCGTTCCCAACATAATGGTTCACGACAGAATTTTTGGGTTGTCACTTCAGCTGCATTTCGTTTTGGGCTAAACAGGCAGAGCAACTGCGACCATCTGCAGAATTTTAAATGATCACATTAGAGAATTTTAAAAATGATGTAGACTGAGAAACCATGCAGGAAAGCTTAACTTTTGCAAGAAAATATTTGGAAGAAGGAGAGCTATTTACTTTTCACTTAATTGAAAACCGCGGAAGCATCCTTGCAAACCAGCCCATTCTATATAATTACTATAACTATACTATAATATATAATTACTATATATTATACCAGCCCATTCTATATAATTACTGTTTAGATTGAAACAGTATTTCAAATCTAAACGAACTACCAGCGTGCAGTCGTCTAATCTATTCGGCCATTAGTTGGCCTTAAGAACATTCATCTTTCTTTACTATCGAATTAAAAAAGGCTAATAAAATGGACAGGGAATGTAAAAATTGCAGATTTTCTAATATTTGTGGATTCAAATATAAAGCGTCTTTATAGTTAGCGGGAACCGACATCTTTTTTTGTCCGGAGAGTGCAAAATAGTTGCAGCGGTCTTAAATCACCATAGTTACATTACTTCTGTGGTCCACCTTCAGTGCTAATTACAGCCGAGCCCTCCTAAAACGAAACCCGGTTATAACGAATAAAACGTTTGGTCCCGCTCAGTTTACTATGCATTTAATGCTATTTTATGCTGCTCTAGCGAATCTCCAAATGTATGAAGATCTGATATAACAAACTTCATGAATATCTTCGATTGAAACTTTTTGTTTTGTTTTGTTTTTTATATTTTTCCAGAATTTTTGCAAATTTAAACGAACAATTTACTAATTCTTAAAACCATCCGTGTTCAGTTATAACATTCCATCCTTAAAGGAAAACACTTTTACATTATCTTTAATTTATCTTCACTGTTATACCAGTTTTATCGGTATTCTAAACAACGCCTATGCAAGACAAGTGTGAACCCAGTTCTAGGAGAACTGGGATACAATAAGCAAATCTTCGAACATCCTATAGCGTTAGTAACAAAAAAAAAAAAAAAATGAATATATTCTCTGATTGCGTTCCAATTTGTTGACTGAACTGTCGCACAGAGCTCTATTCAGGTCTGTTGCTAAGACGAAAATTTTGAAATTTTTTCTATTCAGGACAGAGGCAGTAATAAATAATATGAACTTTGGGGTATACTGTTCGTCTTTTATGAATAAAATTTTGATTCTTATCGGTTTGTTTGTTTGAACATAAATGCTCTCCAAGTGATATCCTTCGAATAAATGTTTTGCATTCTTTAACTCAGACAGATTCTATTTATATTGAATCAAGTTGCAAGCTTAGGTAAAATAGAAACTCTAACTATGCGGCGAGCCGAAAGTCCTCTCGAGAGGTTGCTGGTAAGGGAAGAGGAGTAGGAGACCCTCGGACATGTCTTCCCGGGGTGCTGTCCATTGAAACTGAGGGCAGAACTGAGCAAAGTCGTACTGTCACCTGTATGGTGCTAACGACTGTATATTTTAAAATTCCGAGTTATCTATATTTTCCTAATCAGGTGTATCTCTCTTTATTTCAGATCAAAGCTTCACAGCAGCAGATTCTAACAGCAGTTCGACGACAAAATCTTTCGTGCCGTGTAAAGTTTGCGGTGACAAAGCTTCAGGGTATCATTATGGTGTCACATCATGTGAAGGATGCAAGGTAAGACCGAAACCTCTTTCCATTTTAAATACGAAAAGATTTTACTCACGTAGGGTTTAGTTGGAAATTTAAAGCAGTTGTATCACTATAAACTATACCGGATTATTCATAATCCAATTAAATTTAAAAACAAATTCATAACAAATAAAGTATGCAACCGGTAATCAGATTTTATTACACTGAAAACAGGTCTTCATTTCTAAAATTAGAAATACCGTAATCCTATGGAAGACAGTCAAATACAGGTACAAATATACAGGGTAAGTCTAAATTGTTTTTTCAAATAAGAGGGGTGATAGTACTTATCCAGACGAGCAATAATTACCATGGAACATCAGCTCTCATACACGCTCACCGGGCATCAATCCGTTGGACATTTTTTTTTTCTGGGGGCACATGAAATCTTTAGTGAACGAAACGCCTGTGGACTGGGCTGAAGATGTCGGAGTGAGAATCGTTCTTGCCGCAGACAAAATTAACACACCACCAAGAATCTTCCAGAAAGTGCGCCAGTCATTCATTCGCCTGTGTAAACTATGCAATAACACCTGTGGCAGCCACTTTGAGCACTCGCTGTGAGTTTTTCTCTAATCAGTAAATCAGATTGTGCAACTTTGGATATCGTACATTCACTTTTCCAACACTATTGTTCCAAGTTCATGCTGGAATTCTAATTTTACTCTTTTCTGCCTCTCCGAGTGGAATGAAATCCTGTGTTCCGTGATAATTATTGCTTGTCTGAATGGGTACTTATTTTGCAAAAACAATTTAAACTCACCCTGTATTTAACAAAGCAAGATGGAAAATTGTTTTAATGAGGATAATATTTTTGATATATGAAATAATGTGGAAATTAATTTAAATCATCAAATTTAAAATCTTAGTCGTATATTTCAGTGTTTTTCAAATTATGGTGCGTTGTACCACTAATGATACGTTACATTACTTTTGTTGGTTACAATTTTTGTTCAGAAGATTTAAATGAATATTCAAAGTAAATGTAAAATAATACCAGTTTCGATGCATATACTGGTACATAAGTTTATTTTTGATTCTTATTTATGTGGTACAAAATTTAAGAAGTTTGACCCTGGTACTCGTATATTTGACTGAGAAAATACTGTGTACGAAATCATACGGCTGTGATGGGGAATTAGGCCTGCTAGGCCCATTTGAAAGTGACAGTGACATTAAAAATTAATAGTGTTCTTGTAGTTTATTTTGTATGCCGCGTTTTCAGATCACCGTTTTAGATATCCATTTGTCGAAGGCAGACATATCTGCCCACCACCGGCTGAACACTGGTTGCAGAACTACCAGTGTTCAGCCGAAGTCGCTGAACACTGGTAGTTCTGTCCGAGGTTCGAATCCCGCGAACGGGCTGGCTGCAGGGGTGTTTTCGTGGTTTTCTCCATGTGTAACGTGTATACGAGCGAGTTTTCCATAGAAAGTCCTCCACGAAGGCATCCCTCCCCTTAGGCAGATAGCCCTAGTGTGCTTTGCCATAATTAAATACACCATTAAGGCAGAGTCCCCTAGTCCCTGGTCCGGAGTTTACTGAAGCGCTCCGCGTAGTATAACTAAAAAATTGAATGAAACGGGTATATGACGTATTAGAATTTGACAATGTGAACTGGTTGAATGATTTTTAGAAACTGTGTTTATGTACTTAAATGAACTAAATACACTTCTTTAAGAGGGGATTAATAAATGGTATTTGGGAGAAAATGGCAAAATGTCGTACATTAACCCCGGCACAGAGGCTTGTACTAAATAGTGAAAGATTTGCTGCAGTAGGTGCATTTTTTATCGGAAGATATTTTGACAATACAGTTCAAAATTACAGAAAACTTTAATTGCATTTTACTGTATTCGCTACTTATTTCGTTCTTAGTCATCGAATTTTAACATGGAATGAGTATTTCAATCGGAGATAAAGAAAATTTATGAAAGTTGAATTTGATTAGTTGTACTAATCTAAAGAAACTTTTCAGGCATTCTTCCACTTTGAAATGGCATGAACATGTTTCACATTCATGCCATTTCTCGTTGTAAGCTTGCATATTCACTAGTAGTTTCTCCCTGTATAAAACGTTTCACAAAAGAGGGCAGGGAAACGAACCTCGTGAATATAATCTTCGCCATTTGGTACTATATGTCTATGAAACTTAATTTGGATACATTTTTCTTCAGAAAACAGGCTGAGTGTTTTCATTAAATGTATTATGTTCGTGAATTTTTTTTTTCTAACACAGTGAAATTCTTTCTTAAGACGACCACTTAAGATATCTTCCAGAGGATTTTGATTTTGTGTGGAGGTGATCTGAAAAGGTCTGAGAGAAGTGATATTCAGTATCAATCTTTATTTATGTTTTTCAAAGTACTGACCACTTTTAGAGCTGGTCCTGCTGGGGGTTGTGGTGGCCATGAGTAGATTCATAATGTATTTTGGACTTAAAACGTAAATGTAGTTTTATTTAAAGCAGTTAGTAATATACAGCGAATCCTTTCTGGATGACCATTTTCTTAGGGTAACCACTTCTGAAAAGTGAAAAATTTTTTGTAAGGACATGAATAAGCATTATATTGATTACCTGCTCTTTAAGATGACCACCCTCACAGAAGACCAAAATAATCTAGAACCATGGGAGGTCATGTTAGACAGGATTCACTGTCTCTTAGCACATTTATATGAGCGATGTGTCGAAGAAGCTTAAAAGTTTGGAAATTCCTTTGTCACTGATGAATATAACAATATAAAATGATCTGCAAACTTGCCTTTAAATTCTACGATGGTCTGCAAACTTATCATTCTGTCGATGAAGCTTGAAAGGTTGGACACTGGTTGGATTCCTTAACGAAAATAATATAAAATAATCTGCAAACTTGTTTTAAATTCTATGTTTGGTCTGTCAACTTTCCATTGAATTGTACGGAATGTAGTGTAATATAATTGTAGTTATCGGGATTGTGGTTTTCGAGAGTCTCATATTTCCCATAGGAGAAATAATAATAGCTTTTAATTACACTTTCAGATTACAGAAAACTAGTTTATGTCGTAATTAATTACGAAAATATTCATTTATTGACGATAATTTTCGTGTTTCAATTGATTCTTAGAAGTAGTTTAACAATGCTTATTGCTTAAATATTCATTGTCCGAACTGAGAATATTTCATTATTTTCTTAGAAACTATTTATCAATGATTTCTAGGGATAGAAACCATCCAGTTATGTTATGCTCTATACACCTATCTAGAAACGTCTAAAACACGTAAAGAAACATAAAGCATCATTAAATCTTTATTTTTCGAGAAAACGGTTGAGTCATGAGGGCAAGAGTTACAAGAAAGTACATGAAGCCAAGCTTAGATTGGTAAAGAATACAGCAGGATGATGATGTCATAACAAGATCTCGAAGAAAACGTCAGGTCACACGTTTTGGGATATTACGCAAAAGCTTATAAATAAAATAAAATGTGTTCTGGAAGCTTATTTACAAACAATATGCGTTTGATAAAAAGCCGCCACGGCTGAATATATACGTGCACGGAAATCTTTAAATATCTAATTTATGGTGCCTACTGACTCTAATTCTTGTTAAGGTAGTTAAGAAGAGTAGCGGATACATAAATAGCGCATGATGAAATTTAATTCTTTAGAACTATTTTTTGGGTTTTTGTAGCATTATGTTTGAATGCAAAAAGTTATACGCAACAGTCAGCTTTAGTCTTTCTGGTCTGATTGTTTCTATAAATTGGTATAAAAAGCTTGCAGAAATTGTGCATACTTTTGTTTGCCAAGAGTCATAACTTTTGGAGTAGTACTGATATTTTTACTTTGTAAAAATTCATTATATTCCATAAGAAAATGGTTCCAAACTGGTGTATACTTAACTAGGCTGGTGCAGGAGGAATTAACACTTCCAAAAGAAATCAAATTTTTAATCATCTACGTGGCTTATCGCACAAATACCTACAGATGCATACATTTATAATGGAATCAACCCTCTCGTGGCAGCCTCCTCACTAAGACCACCTCTGAAAATGACCAGTATTTCTGAGAACAAAAAGAAGCATTGATATTGAATATCATCCTGGTCATATGTAAAGGTAGACTGTAGTCTATTGGAAGTGGTCGTCACGAGAGGATTTACTTTAGACGACCACCGGAGAAAGCGACCAGTATTTTGAAAACAACGTATATAAACAAACCAAACTCATTTGGAATATTGGGCGTTGGCTTTTATTAAATTTATAAAAAAAGTCATTATGAACATTAAAAAAATTACTCACACATTTATATAAACATATGATTGTTTCTAATACCTGTATGCGACGGAAATTATTACATCTTAAATAAGATTTAATTTTTCAGGTTTTTGTTTTGATGAAATTTTGAATTAATTCATCGAATATTAATTATAAATATAATTTTTTGTTCTATAGATTTTATTTCTAAATTAGTGAGCCGTTCTTAAATTACTGCAAAGCAAGCCGCTTTGCAGCTACGTTTTTAATTTAAAAAACATTTCTTTTTTATCTGCGTATTGAAGCTGATAATGTCACATAATTTTTCTAGGCAATAAACGTATCCATAAAGCTGTTATGTAAATTATTTTTGCAAATGGGTGATAGGCCACTGTTTATTTATTTATTTATTTATAATTTGTAAATAGCAATATTTTCTTAGGGAAATTCTCCTTATTGTTGTTATTTCACTTGAAAAATTTCTTTCATCGGTATCTCTATAATATCATAATTTAATTTTTTATAATTTTTAAGCAGTTCAGTGAAAATATTTTTTTTAAGTTAAATAATATTTAAAAGAAAAGCCAAACGTTCCTTTCATTTTATAATATGTGCTTGATTTTGTTTTCATCCAAAGATGCGGCCGAGATATCAGTAATTGAAATAAAATCGTGATTTTAATATTTTTTTTTTTTTTTGTTTAAAATGTGATATTACTTATATTAGTATTTTTTTCGCTAGAAATGTCTT